TGATCAATTGTCAGCCAATTTTGATTCAACTTTTGATAAATTGACCTGAACTTGATGAATGACCAACCCTGAATTTTGCCCAACGACATTTTCCATTCTGATGTTTCAACATTTTCCTGTCACCATTCAAGCATCTCAACGGAATAGACATGAAATTGAAAATGATTGCTTTGATTAATTAACTGATTAAATTAATGAGAAAATAATGCAATTGACTTTTCAGATTCTTACATATCTTTATTACCATCGATATTGGACAGAAGACAATTGAACCCAAAAAACTGATATTTTACTCGATTAGATTTATAGTTATTGCAATGAGTCAAGAAAACAAGAAGTTTATTGAGCACATAAAAGGATAAATTAATGTTTAAAATCACATTATTTGTCTTCCAATGTGTTATCAGCAATAAAAAAGGTGCTTGTGAATGGCGTAAATGGTCCAAGTATAAATGGGTAAACATGCTTACAATTGATCATGTACTATAATGAACTATTTATTGGCAGATCGCATCAGCATTTAATCATTAATATAAAATGAAAAGAACGAAAAATGGCCGAAAAATATTTCCTTTTGTTCCAGTTTATCATCAGTTTAACGAGTCTTTATAATTGCGAATGAATAGATTCATGAAATTGTCATTGAAATTGGTGACAATCAGAATGTTGATCATCTACAGAATATTTGTTTTCATCCAACTTTCTTCATCTTTTTCACTCTTTTCCTTCTTTTCATCTCGTCCAAAGAATTGAATAGATAATTATGTTCAGCAATTCAAACTTTGAATTTCAATTTATGCTTGAAAAGAGCTGAGAAACTATTGCAATGTAATTATGTATAATTATGATTTTTATTATGTAATGATTAACAAATAATTAAGCAAGAAAATCTATTATTTTTGTTTTCTTCATGAAATGTTTAACACTTCAAATAACTGAATCTCAATTTGCTTTACAATTTGGCAAACCAACGATAATGCATTAATTAGCATTAAATAACTGTAATTCATTCACAGAAACATGGTTATCAATGTTGGTCGACTGAATATTTACAATGAAAATAATTTTATTTTTAATTGGATAAGCTTTTACGGTTGTCTTGGAAAATGAATTATGGACAGAATGATGAAAATGGAAATAAAATCTCAAAGAGAAATCTCATTTTTTCATGATCTTCTTACACTCCTGTTCACTCGAGTTTCAACTTTCATTTGAATGTCAAGCTTTGAAAAGCTATTATTCTTGAGAGTTCATGGATTATGAGAGTGAATTCAAAATTTCATGTATTGATTTTAGTCTAGTTTTGGCTACAAAACTGACCTGAAATTTCGATGAAATATTTGCATAAAAACGACTTTAGTTGACAGCAATTTTTCGGCCCATCTGAAAATGGACAGTTACTTTCGTTTGATTCAATGTTTACAAATGTTTGCAGATTTACCTTTGACTTTGAAGATGCTTTGAGGAAACTTGGAAACTTATTGAACAGTTGCAATGTTCAGTTTGAATGAACAGTTTTATGCAGGTGAAGCTTTCCTGAAATTTTATTTACCATGCACTTACTGATAAATTGTGCAACTTAATCTCTGATAATGATGAATTTCCTTGAAATGATTTTCTTTCAAGCTTTTCATATGATAGAACACTTTAAATGCTGCAATGGAGAAGAAAGATGGAAAATTGAAAGCAAATTATGTGATCAAAAGGTTTGAGTTGATAATTTGAAATGGAAATTTTTGTTTCATGGAAATCGATCAAACTTCTAGTTTCCATCAAAGCTCATGTCAACATTGGTCTACTTGAACCAGACTAGTGTAGTGAACAAATTCAGTGACATTCAAAGGTTGCTGTTTAGAAATTTTCGCTCATGTTTGGTAATAACCTCAATGAATGAGAAGAGTATTAAAAATGAAAATATTGCAATTAAAGGGAAGAGCTGGAGATTTGGTTCAATATCAATCAATTCAGACGAGTTTTGGTGAGTAAATCTTGGATTCCCTTTAATTGAAATTGCATGACAAACAGGAAAGAAAAAGGTTTTAATTCGAAATATTACTGCGCTCTTTAATCACATTATTTGTCTCATTTCACATCCATCACTGTAACCATTTAACCTAATAATTTTCTTTTCCACATTTCCCCATCATGGAATTATAGTTGTCGCTGTTAATTTCTCGTCATTTTGTTTTCATTGTCTATCATTATGTTTCCAATGTGTAAACCATTTTAAAATCATTAATGAATACTCTTTAATAATAATTAATTATCTTATGAAAGGCCTTTTTGTGGATTCAACTTGAGCATGTTTATCTAGTGAAACATGATAATCACATCATTCAGCTTGTTTTGTTATTTCACTTCAAGAAATTTAAATGATGTGGAACTGAATGCTAATAGATTGAATCGTCAAGTTGAAGAGTGATTAATTGATAAACTATGGAAGGGAAAAAAGTTGATCATGAAATTTCTTGTTTCATCAGAGTTATTGATCAATGTTTCTTTTTTGAGTAAAAGTTTGACGTTTTTTATAAATGCTAACAGCTGAATAATGAGTTTACAGAGCTAAGGCCATGGCATTGAATCGATGCACGAAAAAACTTTTCAAGATTCATAACTTGAACTTGGTGTTTAACCATTGGCGCTTGATAATTCTGAGTTCCACAAGACTGAGAATCCATTAGTTTTTGATGTTTGGACAAAAAAGTCATTTTGTATCAAATATTAAGAGTAAATATTTTGAAACAGTTTTCACCTTTCATTAGAGATCCATCATTCTTTGGCAGTAGATGTTTTTTACAATCAAACTACAAGTTCATTTTTTCACCCAACCCAACACATTTTATTGCCATTATCTGAACAATCAAAATAATCTGGAATCTATTTTTTAGCCCATTGTTACTCGCTCATACAAAATGTCATTATACAATCATTGACTAAGGAAAAAATTTTGCTCTCTCTCGCATGAGACAATGCGAAAAAATGCAAAAAAGTTTCAACCATACACATGCAAACAGCTTATTCAGATGCATAATCTCTGTAGGCTTCTTTTGGACTCTCACAATTCATGCAACTATAGTATATTTTCAGTCACTATGAACCACATGGAGATTTCAGCAGTGTTTTCTGCGAAAAGTTATAAATTGCTATTTACTTGACAATTCAACCTTAAAGTTAGTCCTGTTATCTGATATTCAATAAAAAGAAAGGTTGAAAATCCTTGAGAAAATTTGCTTTAGTTGGCTCGCGATCAAAACATTCAAAAAATTGAATAATAAAGCAAGTTTTTCTCATAAAGATTTAGCTGATTCTCTAGTAATAGACTAAAATGTGTCAAAGAAAATTCAGTATTTACTTTTTTACCCATCGTACACGCTGTTGAAAACAATTTCAAATCGGATGAAAAATTCGAATTCAGTTTCCTGAATTTGATTTATTTAGCTATTTTTTGGAATCAATTTCTGTGAATGTTTGTCTAAAAAGGCAACATTTCGATACATTCACTGCTATGTGCTAACTTGAAGGTTGAACACAGTTGAAATTGAATCGTAAAAAGTAAATCTTGAAAAGCTGATTCCATCAAATTCACAATCCCTTTTCCCTTTTCTTTGTTCATTTACCAATCCACAATTCAAGTGGCTTTTAATCAATTCTTGAGAAAAATCTTCACATTCTCTGTTTATCTGAATTTAGATTTGTGCCTAAAGCCTTTTTCCTGTTCAATCGACTCTCAGCATGAGTATCAATCTTGATTCCATCACGTCCATTACCCTATGTCTGGTAAAATCAAGAGATAACTTTCTCAACTTGAATTCAATAAAAAACTATTCATTTTCTTAGAAAAACATTTCAAAAACTATCTTAATCTTGATCTCTCTCAGCACTAGCAAAAAGAAAACAAAATGAATTTTCTTTCTGTTCCCTGAAACTGAAATAAAATATCACGTAATTTACTGTTTTGACCCATCTAACCTTTACAACACTCACAGATCAATCCATCATACATTGACACAATTCCAACGTAGTGCGTAGAATAATCAGCATATCAGTCAGAAGTCATGATGAGCCCTCATCAAAGAAACCTTGCAAACTAATTAAATTGAATAGTTTTTCCCTATTAACCCATTAAATAGTAAAGTACAAGTTTATTTACCTAATGACTTTTTCTGTTTATCCATCACTTTGATTGAAATTAAAGTAATGAACCAATTTATGATTAGATAAAATCAGAGTCAATCAGATTGTCTAACAAACAATTAAAAAAACAGTGCACAAAACTCGACTTAATGTCAACATTTATTCGAGCTTTAAAACATTATCAAGCAACTTCGTTTCAATTGAAATGCAACAATGTTTATCTTCAAAGGTCACCAACGAAAAGAGTTGATACAAGATGCTGATCTTAACAACTTTGTGATAAACATTTAGATGTGAATCAATGAAGACATGAAACATTTGCTGTTATTTTGCACAAAATCGGTAATCAAATGTAAATCAGATTAAGCCTTATTCAAATGAAACTTTTATCTCAAATATTTATGTAGAACTTGATTCATGATGAAAATGAAAAGCACATCATAATGGTTAAAACAATTTAACATTTTGTACGTAATGCATTTTCACATTAGAGTAAATATTTATTCCTCTCTTTACTCCTTCATCTGACTTTATCAATATTTTTTTCCTGAAAAGTCTATTTATTTGCTCAAAGCTTTTTTTAAGCATCATTATTAGCTTAAAGATACATAAATAGATAAATTTTTCAACAAAAGGATGAAAATTTTTAATTTTTTAGCTCAACGAATTATGACGCTTCATGAGAGAAAAAATTATTTCAGGGAAAACTTTTTTTTTCAAACTAAAAAACTGTTCTTTTCCAAATGTTTACTTACTTGATATTCATTTTCTTGATTTCACTGAACTTCCTCATCTTCATGCCTGATCTTCATTATTTAATTGTAATGTTTTCTTTCCTCATTTTCTTTTACTGTTCATCGATTCAGAAAATTGGTGCAAAGCAGTTTGGGATGGAGTTTATTGTTGGCCTCCAGTTAAAGCAAACAGTAAAATTCGAATCTCGTGTCACACTATTTTTGAGACTTCCAAATTGGAAATTCAATCAGATTACATTTACTCAGGTAAGCAAAACAATTTAACCATTGATTCAACCTCAAGTTTTGTCTTGAGTTCAACAGTGGAAAAAATTTGCACGGCTAAATTGACCTTCCAAACAAAGGTAAAAATATTATCAACTGTTTTGCCTGAGGAGGAAAAATCTGAAACAGTCTTATTTCAAGAATTTTTCATTCAAAAAAACTAGGAAAAAGAACCAAAAAAGATTATCTTGGATTTTCATCATTTTGCATTTTCTGGTTTTCTCAATATTTTTCAAAACCATTTTTTATATCATTCGAGTTGTTTTCAATTTGCTTTAAAGATTTTCACATTTATCATCAAAAGATTTGCTTAAAAGTTCATGATCCATTGGGAATTAAACATTCAGATTATGCAACATTTATTCGTAAATATTATCTACAAAGTAGACCCATTCAAATCATGCAATTGAATGTGCATCATTTTAGTATCAGGAAATGCTAGGGTGAAATTCAACGCCATGAGCTTTTTAACCTCCTTTAGAGTTCGTTTCAAATGTCATGCCATGATTACATGTCAAATAGTTTATATCGAGTACACACACTTTGGGCCAACTTTATTGTTTGTCATAAACAAATTCATTATTAATGATCATGGAAATTGAATCGATCATGCAATTCAGCTTTTTCTCTTATCTATTCCAAGATTTTTTGCCTCGAAAAAATATCGAGTGAAACTACATGGAAATGCTAATCTTTTTCTTGATAACATGCAAATACTTTTTTCCGTATTGCCAAACACAATTGACTTCATATTTAAAATGGAAATGCAATAAATGTAGGTTCCCACAAATTCAAATTTAAACATATTGTTCAATACCTCTTACAATGTAAGTAATGCAAAATGTAATACCTTTGGAAAAGTCAAAAAGTTTTCAGATAGAATATTCAGTTTACAAATGAGTCTCGATAATTTCAATTGCATTGATAGTATGATCGTTAATAACTAATCCATGATGGACTATCTCTCTAAACTAGCCTTTTTAACCACAAAAATCTATTGAACCTCATCAATAACAACTGGTCATGGTTATGATAACTAGGATTATCGTCCATCTCTAGTAGTGTATAAGCTAGCAATAAAGTATAGCTGATATTGCAGCTCATATTTATATGTCATGTACATTCATTATACGAGAAATGATGAATAGTCATGAGCAACATATGAATATTAAGTAAACCCAAGTTTTTATCGGTGAAGAGTTTTGGGTTTACCTAATGAAATCCCATAGATTGCATTGAACTAAATGGATTAACTCAGATCAAATGTTCAGTCCAACTTATATTGAATAAAATGAAATATCTTGTTTTCATTTTGAACCTTGAAGTCAAAAGGCAAAAAATCCTGTGAGCCCAGCTTACTCAAGATGTTGTTTTAATGGACCCTTTCGTTGCTTAGTCAACAAGAAATCATATTCACTTGAAGTGTAACTTCAGCCATTATCATTGATCAACCATTTTCATTACAATAATTTCACGATCAATCTTTGATTTTTGAATCAGATAATAACCTCAAATTGGCCATTTTTTCACTTTTTTAACCTTTATCATTATTTACATTATGTATGAAAGGCAACATCTTTATCAGCCTCATTCATCTTTGAATGTTCATTCTTTGCCAATTTAGCTATAAAGTTATGCACGTAATGATATGAATTAAGAATAATGTTTCTCACCATTAATTTTATTAAGTTCATTTTATCCACTCTTATGGAACACGTTCAATACTCATTTTATCATTCATAATTTGTATTATCTTACAGAGCCAGAAGCCTTTCGTTATTGTGATTCAACTGGAAATTGGTCGAATGGGAATTGGACCAATTACACTCAGTGCCTAAGTTTACTTTCATCGGTAAGTTGCTAACTACTCAGGTCAGCTCATCACCCGTAATTACAAACATCGAAGCTTAACAAAACTTCAAACTCTGCAAAGAATCAATCATTAAAAAGAAACACTTGCTTGAGGAATGTTATGATCAGAATCACATCAATCTTTCGTTAGTCTTCAACCTTTCAATAAATGAGAGTGATGAAAAAATACATTTGTAATATTTCAATTTGACCAATCGAAGAACGAAAAAGAAAGAATTTTGTTCACTGATGTTTCAATATGGAGCTGTTCGTTGAGTTTATATTGATTGTGGATTGATAATTTTAATGGCGCAAAGCAATAAATTGACAACTAAAATGTATGAGAATGTCATCATGATCGATAACCTGCATGATAAATGGTCTTACTTTAAAGAAGCAAAGAGTTGCTTGGCTCAAATAGGAATTGAAGAGATTTACTTTGATGAAATAATGAGTTAAAGAGTTGAAAAGATGAAATGAATTATTTCCATCAATTTCAGTTCTCCTTTCCTCTTGAATTCTCCAGGCTACAATGCTTCATCAGTACATTTCCACTATTGAATCTGTCTACTGAATCATGATTTTACTTCTAATTGTTGACATTTAACTGATTGTAAAGTATTTTATACATTCAGAGTTGAGCTGAAAAACAAAGATAAACAAGTCTTTTTTCTCTTCGTAATTAGGAGATAAAGTTTGAATTAATTATCATGATGAGAGACAACAGAATTCTCTGGATTTTTGCCCCTCTTTTTGCTTGATTAATCTATTTTGATTAAGAGCACGAATTCATGAAGAAAAACAATGTTTATAAAAAATTTTTATTCATCAAATTTTATCTCCATTCATGCTCGAAAGAAAATGTTACATTCAATGAATTGATCTTCTTAAAAGTAACTTAAAATTCCAATCGAACTGAATCATAGTTCAGCTTTCTAAAGACTTTTATGCTCAGTGAAATTTTTTATAACTTCATTGTTCAACTTTAAGTATAACTCGGAAGGTTCTGTAACGAGGCTCCATCTATCAAGTTTCATGAAAATAATCAAACTTACACTTGAATCAGTTTGAATAGGAAACTTTTCCGAGTGAGTTGGTCAACGTTGAGGGAAAAAGGTTAATCTGCTTAGGGTTTTGAAGATGAATTAGAATTGGTAAATTGAAAGAAGATAATTCAGAACTATTGATGGATTTTAGTTGAATAACAAATAAGCTGACGAATGGGAATTCCTATTTCTCAATTTTCAACTTTTCACTTTTCATCACAATGGTTTGGTAAAGGAGACTCGAATGTCCAAGACTTCGAGTTCATCGTAACCTTGTATTTGCCTTGATTATCCACTGTGTCTCTCTACTGATAATATCTTCGTCCATTGTGTTTGACGGCCAATTCAATTTTACAAAAGAAAATGTGAGTCGAAAAGAGAAAAGAAACAAATTGAACAATCAAAGAAAATTATTTAATACAAAAATTTTGCAACTATCAATTTCTTCTCAGCCCATTCTGTGTAAATTGGTATTGTCACTTAAAATGTATTCTGCTCTTGCATCCATCAATTGGATGTTCATTGAAGGACTTTTACTTCACAGTCGAGTTACAACTGGAATTTTCAGGAAAAGTTTCCCTTTTAAACTATACTACGCCATTGGCTGGGGTGAGTTGAATGTTGACAAAATTGATTGTTGATGTTGATGCCTAATGACAAGTAGATGCAAATTTCAGTCCAAAGTAATTATTTCATCGATATCAATCATCATCAACTTTTAATTGAATTAATTGCAGCATGAACAAAAAGGAAAAAACTTTTCTTTTCATCTCTTTTTTTCTATTTGCAACTTTCTATTCCTTCAAGGCATTCCACTTTTCATCATTTTGACATGGGCTTACATAGTCAATAAAACGTTGCACTCTCGATGCTGGGAAGGTTATGGTGATCGGGTTACAATATGGATAATCACAGCACCAATGATTCTTGCATTACTGGTAAATGTCGCAACAAATGCTACCCGAAACCCAAAAAACTTTACCAGAAAATTTTTAACTTTTTTCCTTCTTCTTTTCGTTTCAACTTTCGTTTTCAGATAAACTCGACTTTTTTGGTAAACATTATTCGAATCCTTGTTACCCAATTGAGCCGTAATCGATCAGAGGAAACTAATAAGATCAGGTGATTTACCCATTAATATAAAGCAAAGTGGTGTATCAACACTACTAAATCGATGAAACAATTAAAGTAATTGAATGTTGATGCAAGTTTAAACATTCATGTCAAGTGCAACTTTTTTTATTCTTTTGCTTGACCTTTTCCAATGTTTCTCAATGCTCTTCACGATTAGCCAAACGAACGAATGAATGCACTTGGCTTGATTTAATCAACGTAATTATCGATTGTTACAGTTGAATATCAGTTTACTTTAACCAATTTTGATAGCAGTTTATAGTGATACAATATTATATTATTTACTCTTGGAAAGCCTCTTGACCACTCTTGACCTGAAATCTGATTCTCTAGTAAACAAACATCTTGATACTTCATTACTTTTATTGATTCAACATGTTGATAAACATTGTTATTAATTGAAATCAATTTTCTTTCCCATCTTTTGGCCTTTTTTTCTTCTAGCAGAAAAGCACTCAAAGCAACAATCTTGTTGTTTCCTCTTTTGGGAATCACTCATCTCTTGTTTTGTTTCAATCCAAAGGATAACAAGCAGCTAGAGATGGCTTATATGATAACTAATGCCATTCTTCAATCGTCTCAGGTAAAAAGAGTTACACTAAAATCGAATCCGTTTTTTGGAATTTACAAGATTTTATAGAATTACTTGATTGAAAAGTTTTAAATTGAGCTGAAAAAACCTTATTTCAAGAAAGTAACTTTTAATTCCTAAATTGTTGAATCAAGTTTGGGTTCTAAACGGCAAATGTGTCACTAGATGGCATTGTTGTTCTGTAATGAGGCTCCATCTATCAAGTTGCATGGGAACGATCAGAATTACACTTGAATCAGTTTGAATAGAAACTTTTCCAAGTGAATTGGTCAACATTGAGGAAAAAGTTAATCTGCTTAGGGTTTTGAAGATGAATTAGATTTTGCAAATTGAAAAGAAGACAATTCAGGAATATTAAGAGATTTCAGTTGAATTGCAAATAAGTTAACAAAAGGAAAATTCATAGCAATTTTCAAGTAGAGCGTGAATTCATTGAAGCGGCATGAGCTATTTTGTTAGATTTTCATGTTAATATAACTTTACTGTGCAACAAATTTCCAAATCATTTTGAAAACGGATTAGTATAAACCAAGTTAATTAAAGCTCGTACAATTCATTCTGAAACTCGTTTATAAGTAACTGTAAAATCCCTCGATTCTCAATCATTATCATTGCGTTTCACTGAATTCTCTAACGGATAATGAAAATTCTATTGATCACAAGGCAGATCACAGTGGAATGAAAACATGATTTCCATTGAGCTCATTATATCCATAATAAATAACAGCTTGAATAACTTGATTATTTGCAAAATATCTCGACTTTTCATGATCAACCCTCCATATGGATAACATTATGAAAGGAAAATCAATCAAAAAAACTGCTGAAGTATTTCACTCCATCAATGAACTCAATCTGATATATTCAGTCTTCGGTGTAATTAGCGGTTAAACCTAGAACCTTGTGGAGATTGATTGATTTTTTGCTCTTTGAATAGTTTTGTTCAATGTTCTGACATCAAAATATGAATTTCCTAATTAAGTTGCTTGACTAAAGCTTCAATAAATAGGGAAATATTTTCATGAATATGTTCAATTGCTTTATTAAGGTCTGAACGGCAACAGAGTCAACATGATTAATATTTTTTTATCTTTATAATGGTTCCAAATATTTGTTGAAAATCTTCACCTATCGGTTCTTGATAATTTGATTTTAAGTTGCAGTAATCGATTTTCCACTGTTCTTTTGTTCCGTTTCAATGATTAGTTGAGTAGTCGGCTCTTGGGGATGATCTTTAGTTCCAAATATTTCTATCAGTTTTAGGAGCAGCAAACATTTCAAAAGCATTGCATCTGAAGTCTGTTTGAAGACACCTTATTTTCATTAGCACAAATTATGTATCAAATTAAAAATATCATTTTCAGCTCAATAGTACACAATTGTAATAAAATAAGTTCACCTTTAACTCGGAGTAAACTGAACTTTAACTCTTTTATTTTCAGGGAATTTTCGTCTCATTTTTCTACTGCTTTGGCAATGGGGAAGTTCAACGAGCTATTCGATGTACCATTAAACGGGGCTATGCGGGTCGAAGCTCAACCGTCAACTCGATTAGAAATTATTCTGCGCGAAATAATGTGAAAAAATCTCAAATGAAAGTTTTGACGCCATTTCAGCCTATTAATGCGGAGATACAAATGAACTCTTTCAAGCCAAACGATATATCAAGACTTTGAGGAAACTTTTTCTGCAAAAAAGTGACACCGAAACAAATTCAAAGTAATCATGAAATGTGTATGTCGACTTTTTTTGTATTCTAAAACATATTTTGTACTCTTTAACTTGTTTTTGCAATTATATTTTGATTAAAACATTGATTATCGATATTGATCTTCGTAACTTTATTCCGATTTTATTTCTTCGTACTTCAACACTTAGCCATGAATAACGTGTCAGTGAGGTTTTAAACTAAAGAGTCCCAGAGTTTATCTCTTTAAATACTTGGAATAAATTCAAGAATAACTTCTTTTACACAGAAATATTAAAAAGTTGAGTTGAAAAATGAATGAATGCATTTTTTATGCTTCATTATTTTTATGCATTTTAAATCAATGAACACACTTTGAATACAAAGTTATGTTTCCTACGCAGTCAACGAGCTAAATAAGGTTAAACGCGATGCGCTCTCAAAAAGAGCAATTTCATATCTGTAAGAAAAATAGTTCATCACTCAAAGCTAATTATTACTTGGTTTGAGGAAAATAGAAAGAAGAAAACTGTCCGAATTCGAAACCAAGCTCGTTCTATTGAGAAGTTCTGTCATGTAAAGTTGAATAAGCCATAATAAGTTGATCATACTTTATGCCTTTGCAAGAAGATTAAAATGGTCAAACTATCGAGGAATTCAAAGAAATGCTTAATAATGAGTATTCACCATCATTCATCGTATCATTCAACCTTTCCTTCTTCGGTGAAAATGCGTAGCACTCGTAGCGAAGGATTTGTACTGTGACATCCTATCTCAGGCACCGAAATATCCGTAAATCGAAGTACTGCTGCTGACCAGCAATCGAGCATTTAGCAAAGTTCATTTTCATAATAAAAAGTTGCATTTCGAAAAGCGATTCGACGAAAATGTCTGCACAACACAACCTGAGTTCGGAGTTTCAACGTAGACAAAATCTGTTCATTTTTAAGGAAATACAGGAATAGCGCAAACTTACGTCTTCTCATTCCCTGAAGACCACCAAGACTTAATTATTAGCTCGAAAGTCAAACTGTTTGTATACTTTATTGGACTAGAAAAAGCATTTTTCTCTTTTCGTTGTGCAATTTTGGCCATTGTTACTTAACGATAATAGACAAACAAAACGACTTTTTGCTGACAACTCTTAGTGGAAAACATTGGAATTAAAGTTGTTTTTTCGATCTCAACGTTTTATCTCTAAAAAACTGTGTAAAAATAATGAGCAGACTAAATGAGACAGAATAAAACTGCTCATGCTCTCGATGTAAACTGAATCGTTGTTTTGATAACCTCGCAGAAATCCTTTGAAACTTTACCTTTTCTTCCCTTTCAACCAACAACTCAGAGCTGAATAGATAGATATTCATAACTGAAAGTTGAAATTGTGTGAACCAACAAATTGGAAAGTTGGAAGAAACAAAAAAATGAAAATGTTCAAAGTCGAGTGCAAAGTTGACAGTAAAAAGTGAAAAAGGTTTAAATCAAAAGTTGCAACAATACAAAATGTTTAACCAACTATAAACAAATTGAATTTTGCTCAATTAGTTTAGTTTATTCATTGCCAGTTTGTTTCCCAATTTATCTCTCGTTTCCAATTACCATCAAACTTGACCTGTTCATTATCATCGCCCAACCAAATGATATGAAAAGTTGAAAAAAATCAATTAGCAAGCAAGTTTATCCATTTTGTGCTCTCAAAGGATTAACAAAACAAAAGGCCAGCAAAGTTTTATTTTTGTGCCAACAAAAAGTTGATCAATAAAAGTGAACAAAAGAAAAATATTTTTCCCAAAAAATCGTTTCTTTGGGTTAAATCATGAGTTTCAGTGGTCTTTTAGTGTTGCTCATGTTTACCAATTTAATCACTAATAGTTCAACCAATCACTTTACTTGGATCCATCGATTTCTCACCGATCAATCATCACGTTCCTCACCCTCATCAATCCCTTTATCATCTTCATATTCTTCCTCATCTTCGCCAGTTTCATCATCTTTATCGGCTTCTTCAACCACATTCAACCATTTTGGTTACAATGTTTATCCCAGTAAACATAATGAAAGCAATATCAATAAAATTAGTGTTAAACAAGAGCCAATACAGCAACATGTTGAACATGCTAATCCAATCCATCATCATCACCACCATGTAAGAAGCAATGCCAATGGAAACAATCATATTAATAGTTTACCGTCTTCCAAACCAATTAGCTTAGAGGCTGGCAAAGGTTCATCTTTGCCATCAACAAATTTTCATGCAAAAAGTGATAATTTTATTGTTAATAATGATGAACCTCTAAATAGTTTGGTTAAAGCAAGATTTGATAGAAATACTTCCCTTTCAAGTTTACTGGGTCAAAGTGAGATTACGGCTGATCAACCTCTTAATCGTTCACGATTCAGTTACCTTTCCAAGAATGGTAAAGTGTACAGTTGGCCGGTTAAGAGAGCAGCCGAGGTTAATGGAGATGTTATCCTGGGTGGCTTAATGATGGTCCATCAACGTGAAGACAGGATGACTTGTGGTGAGATAATGCCTCAAGGTGGTATCCAAGTGGTTGAGTGTATGCTTTACACACTTGATTGGATTAATAATCAAGAAGATTTTCTTCCTGGAATAACTTTAGGTGCTTATATTCTTGATGATTGTGACAAAGACACTTATGGTCTTGAACAGGCTGTAGATTTCATCAAAGGTAAGATCAAATTTCCTCTTTTCAACCATATAAATGGAACAAGAAAAAAGTATGAAAAAGTCAATTTTGCTTTGCCTTTTTCAGGTAAATCTTTATTTAATCAAACATCAATACTAAGGCAAACTTATAACCAATGTTTATCAATGTCAATTCATTCCATCAGTAAAATAACATCAAAAATATTTTGATATCAAATTCAATGGAAAAGATGAAAACATTGTTTATTCATAAACTGTTTTTCATTTCAACTGAACATCTTCATCACCTCTAGCCTGTTTCAATAGTTTGTCTCTCGATATCTTTTCATTCATTTCGAGAAGACCTTTGTACCAATAACTATGAGTTACTTTGCGAGAAAAGCGAATGTCATAAAAACTCGTTTTTGCTCGATACTTATTAATTCGAGACACAATGAAGTGCTATTTATGAAGTGAGAAATCGTCCACGAGTTGATGAAGTCGTGAAAAGTTGAATTTCATGTGAACTCTTTTTACATCTCTTGAAGGTAAATGGAAAAATATTTCGAGTGAAACCATTTTTCTCTCTGTTTCTATTGAACTTTTATTCAAAAATATTTGACAAAAATGACATCTCAAGGACCAATTCCTATCAATTTGATTTCCGAGAAAACAATATTTGAATTTTAAAAGGTACATTTTGCTCTGATAACCGTAAACTGAACTGACAGCACTTGAGTTTGAGTGAATCATTCAATTTAGCTAAACCAGACTTTTCATGATAAAAGTTGAGGCATGGTTTTGGCTTGTTGAAATGTGTCAAAATTGTTGTTTCCAAAGTCATGGGTAAAACCGGGAAAAAAGAGTTACTTAGTTGATTTAAAGATTGCTCATCAGAAGTTTAATTGTCGTAATCATAACCCATTTCATTGGCACAATTTTTGCGACAAACTTTCAACTTATCAAATTGCTTTTGAGCAAGAATTTCGATTTAATCTTTTCTGATAAATATCTAGTGATTGAAGCAGAAAAGTTTAACCCATTGATTGAAAAGTCTCTGAAAAGATTGCTAGGTTGATGCAAGAAAACGTGAAAAGGTAAAGAAAAATGCTCACAAAACTATGCTCATCATCAGAAGTATTGATCATTATTATCAATACTGAATCTATTAAGGTTGAGGTGAGAAAAGAAGATAAAGATTTATTTCCATGCTTGATTGAATAAAAAAGTTCAAGATTAAAATAAAAGTGAATCAAATTTTTTATAAAACCAAAATTGGATGAAAAGTTTTGCTTTTGTTTTGGTTAGCTTCAAGACGCTCCAGTGACGCTTTGATTTACACATTCAAGCCTCAATGAAAAAATATTTCGATGCGAAGATGCATTTGATTCTTATATTAAATCACTTTACATCAAATAATATTTACATTACTTATAAGAATAAATCGCTGAAAGACTTGTACTTTTCATCAATGGATTAGCCGAGGATATCAGAATCAATCAACACTTTGCAAGTTCTAAGGCAATTTTGATTCAAAATACTTTGCGAAGCGCACGAAAAATTTAAAACTCAAAATCCATGATGCTTCTGCAAATCATTACATATGATTAAATGAAAGATGTATTTTGGCTGAAATTACCTTCTCAGAAATGAATCAGAGGCAGGTTACCAAACTTACTATGCATGGCTTGATATGTTGATTTTACTGATTTATTTCTAGTATGATGCGCCTAGATGAGGTATGTTTTCTGCTCAACGGTTTAATCATTAGTAATATGCTAAAAGTCCGGTTCCAGTACAAAAAATAATGTCAGCTCCAGGACTTTAATCCACTCTGAGATAGAGCTAATATGAATATAGTCAGTCGATAATGCAGACGATCTATTAGTGGGCCATTTAGGGCAGCATAAAACTTGTGAAGATTGTCTAATTATTTATTCTGCCAGCAGAGTTGCTGATAGGATTGGGATTGATATTCTCGTGTCATTCCCTTCCCAATCGCGGCAAAGATTGAGATAAACTACAAGATTCCGAAAGATCTTGACATCTTAGTATGTTCTCCTTATGAATGCATGGGGTGCAAAGTGGTACACAGAAATATACCACCAATAAAGGCCCGAGCAGAATTGCACCAAAGCAGAGGAACCTGAAGCACTTAAAGACAAAGCCTGCAACGAAATCTAAGTATTAGTTTAGGTAGTTTGCCATCCTGTAGGATGCTCATTGAAATCATTACCTTTCCCACTGTATAAAGAACTTTGGACTCAAATGCCATCATCCAGGTATATGTATTTATATTTCCACTTCTAGCATATTCTAATGCTGAATCTTAATGCTGTTCCGAATTATTTTTTCTGCATTGAAGTTCGAAAAATCCTCAAAAAAATCCTAGTGCATTAATTGGTCCAAAAGTATCTGCTCAAAACACTAAAGAGTGAAATGAGACCACGACTCAGACGTCCTCGTGATAAAGATTATATGATATCTAAAAATAATTATGTTCACATCAACAAGTTAATCAAAATTGTAATGAAAATTGTTCACCAGAGCATTATCATCACCTAGCATGAAGCTAAGCAGAGACTTTATTAAAATGTACCACCAAATGTTCACTTGCTGAGGTCACTCATTAAGAGTCAAAAGATGTTGCCAAAAATTGTGATAAGCTCATCAAAGTTCACCTGTTCCATCATTTGCATTGAATGATAAGCCAAAAATTTAATAAACTTGTGCTAAGCTTCCAAGCATTCAGTGAGTCAGCATTCTGTCGCTCATCAAAACTCATGAAAGGTTATTTTCTTCTCTTCATACAATCATTATAAGCAACAAATTGATGACCTCACCTTATAGGATTATGCTAACAACAGTAATCACAAAGATGATAAATGATTGCTTTTTTCTTCCTTTTTATTCCAATGAGATATTATTATATTAATCAACCATGGATTATTGATTAATCAATCTTACCTATTTCTTATCCCATTCAGTTGTGCTGCAAAATGAATGTTGTATTGATTAAAAAAGAGAAGAAGAATGAAGAGTTGAAATGATTTTCTTTGTGAAATGAATTTATCTTATATTAGTTTTAATAAATTGTGATGCTAATTTTAATGAAAAAAAAAAGAAATGAATTTTATTTCAAGTGAGGAAGGAAAAGACGAAAGGGTTAAAAATCAATTTTTTCATCTCGACTTTCATTGCATTGCATCAAAATTTGCATGAATAAATTATAATAAATGCAAACAAATGTTGATTAAATAATGGTTTTCTTCAATTTTAATAATAATTGGAGTCATCAATTGTAATCCGATTTACTATGTAAAGAGCTTTTGTAGATAAGAAAATTTGACTTTACTCGTTAGTTATTTCGTTAGATGCTCAGTATGTATCAATTGTTAGTCTTTGATGATGTTTAATTGGTTCATTTACTTATCCAATTATTGGCTTCATTTTTCCGGCAAAATTATTTCAAGTAGATTATTATGAGATAGTGAAAAACAGGGAGTGAATTTGAATGAATATTGTATAATAACATTATTGTTGGTTAAAGAAATTTGGTTCAAGTTTTGCAGTTTTATTTGCACAATTGAGTAATGATATGAATTATGTTGTGGCTTTCATTTTTCGCAATTTACCAATGAAAAGTTTACAATCCTTGCACACTTTGATTGTCTCAAGGGAATCTGAGCCTTTGATGGATAAAGAGCGCAAAATGTTGGGCAAAGTTTTACTCGCCAAGTGACGAGGCGAACGAGGTATTGAAGTTGATGCATAAGGTAAGGGTGACACCGATGGGGAACTTGCTTCATCTTGGCCTGTCATTGAGCTTGGCTCCGTAGAAGGGTCTGACTCTTGTTCATTGACTGATGCCAAGAGTGAACTTGGTGAGGTTGAAGTTGATGGACTTGAGCCTGGGTCTGTCGCTGAAAGCTGTTGGACTGACTGGGAGGCTTCAATTTGATCAACTGTTATTTCACTGAATGGCTGGTGAGGAAGGGACAGAAAGACTGTGCACTTGTCACACATGGTTTGTGAGCAAATTTTACACCTTGTTGACCATTTGATTAGATTGAAGCGCACCTTGAGACAAATGAAGCAAATTTTGTGGTTAACGAGATCAGATTCCATCTCTTTGGTTACACTGAGACTGGCTCTTTCAGCTTTACACATGACTGAACGCAATTTTTGCAAATTGTCCAGAGTCATTGTGGCTGGATCAAAGTTATCCTGTGAACTTATAAAGCTCATCAAATCATTGTACCACCCTCTAGTGTCTTGGTTATAATTGATACCAGCCTTCGAGGGTCCACGTGAGCTTGAAGATGTTTGAAAATCTTCCAATACTTTACGCATTTTGGATGCTAAAGTCGAACCCTTTATACTCCCAGTCGGTGAACTTTTGGCTTCCTTTGAAAGTTTCAATATTTTGCTAACTGTAAAAGTAAACGAAAAAAGCATTGAATCATTTTTATGTAAACACGTTAAGCACTGATGAATAATTTGCTCATCTAATCCCAACAATTTATTTGAATGGCGTGAATGAATAATTGAATAATCGAGAAAATCGATTGAGAAGCAACTTTACTCATCGCTTCTGAAATGAAATGAGCGAAAAACAAAAACAATATTATTTGATTATCTGTTATCAGTCCAAGAGTTCATTATCAATTAATAAGATAGTTATTCATTGATGTTGATTTCAAGAAAATAGATTAGCTCATGAATCGAATCAGTCAAGTTTCTGTTCATGATTTAAATTTTAAATTATTAACAGCATTTTCCCATTGAGATCGAGTAAAGGAAAATAAAAAAAGTGAAAAATGTATAAACATTGGACTATGATTTCACTCCCAGTTAATACTCCCAGTTAAATGGAGTTTTCGCGAAAAAATCAACTTTGTCCGGGCAATAAAATAAAGGTATAAAAATGGCAATAAAAGTGAGAATAAAAATAATCTATGAGATGATATTTACGATATAAAAGATGATATGAGTCGAGATAATTTGGAACACGAGAAAGAAAAATCTCTGTCTTTTTCAATTTAATGTCAACAGATATTTATATTTAAACATTTGTGGTACCATCTAATTCTGGTCACACAATAAATTATAATAAGTTATTCATTTATCGTTTTATTTTTAGTTTCATGGCAGCAAAGTAAGCAAAGAAAGGACCAAAAGTATGCAATAAAATTTAGCTTTAGTTCTGATTTTCTTTTTATTCAACCTTCTTTCAACAATCTGGTCTAACAAGCAACCCACAGGGAATAAGTGAAACAACGTAAACATTATTTTCCAGATTATCATTACAAACGTCAAAAGTTGACAATCAGTTGAATGTGTCATAAATGGCCCTTTCAACTCGACAATCAAATTGACTTTCAACCTTTCGTCGGTATCATTGACTTAGAAGCAAATAAAAGATCCATCATTCGTAGCGCAGCTCGAAGTTAATAAGTAACTTGTAACCGAAAGAATTTCAATTCCAGTTAATGATAAATCGAAGTACCGATCGACTGAAAGCTGAACTAAAAAAATTTTCAAGTTAAGACGGAATTTTCGATGAAAATGTCAGACTTTAGTGTTGCTAGCTGGGAAGGAATCCTCTGTAACTTGCAACGAATTTTCTTGAAATCTTTTCCGATTGAGTATTTCGTAATATTTTGTCAAAAACTTTCAAATATTTTTGAAGAATCGATAATCGATGCATTTGATGATGAAACTTGGAACAAATATTCCAAAGAAAATAAACATTTTAAACGTCATTCCAATGTTTGCAAACCTTTAAAGGACTCATTCAATGCCTTGGTCTAATGAATGTATTGACGTAATACTACTGAATATCAATGTGCAATATTATGACCATTAACTTGGCAAAGTTAAACCTGTAAACCAGTCTAGTCTAGGTTGCATTGAAATGGCCGAGTTGACAATTGGCGAATTCAATTTAAAAATAATTTCCTCCCAAAATCATTCGATTCATCAAGCAAATACACTGATATTGTGTGTACATTATCTGATTCCAATTTTGTATCTGTTTTTATTAATACACTGAGTTTTCCAAATTTGCCTGGAGTAACATTCAAACTGGATAAACATTGACAATGTTTGAATATTGAAAGGATTGAAATGGCAAGTTTCAAAGCTTTCAAAATGTACCATTATTTGCCCTCTTAGATGATATTATTGTACAAATATTTTCATTTGTCCCTTTCATCATTCATTTTATGCGAATAAAAATTTGTGTAAAGAATTTTTCACTCTCTTTTCATATTATTCCCCGTTTATTTGCTTGAGCAAACCATTTATTTGCTGATATCATTATTACCCATGAATCAAGTTGAATGAGTCCAGTTGATATGGAATTTGAGAAAAAGGAAAGAAAAAGGAAAAGTTGAAAATGTTTTAATGTTCGCTTGACATCATTTTTCTCTGTCCATTAAAGTTTATTATTATTGAAATATTAAAATAACTGCAACATTATTTGCTCAATTGTCGAGGCAATAAAACATGATAATAGATACTATTGAATGGTTGAAAGTTGAGATTTTTTGTGATTCTTTTTGTGAACAGAAATATTTTTCACCTGTTATTTGAGAATCGTTCATTGTATGATTAAAAAGTAAAGCCAAAGTAAAACATTGAAACTCGAGATGAAGTGAAACAAAAACAGGTAAAAATCATTTTCTGATTATGTTGTAAAACAAGGAAACTTGGTAAACCTTTTCAACTTGATTCCAACAAAGCAAGTGTCTAAGATGAACAAATAACTAAGAATAGCAAAACTGATGAAACTTTATGAAACCATGGAACATGAAACTGTAAAGAATTTTTCTTTTTGGAATTTGGGAGTTTTAACATTCAAAGATTCTTTCGATAAAATATGGTTCGACTTGAGCTGCTTTGAAACTTGTCCATTCAAGTTGTGATTAAAAGGCAAACCAAGATTAACGATTGTACAATTCAAGTTGAATTTGTCAAACTTTTTTTCTTCTTCTCTTTCAATTCTTGCAAGAAAACGTAAAAGTCATAAATCTAGATTGAATCGCCTGCATTGTGAATGAACATGATAATGATGATGAAGAGGGAAAAGGACGAGAAATGATGAACTTTTCAGTGAAGAGTTTGTTGACGATGATGCGGGTGAAGGTTGAATGGGAGGATGAGAAAGGGAGGAAGGAAAAGAAAAGGTTTCAGAACAATGAGTTGGAATATAAATCACAATGGTACTTATGAAAATTGAATTGGCGAATCGAGGAATGAGGGAAGAAAAAGGAAAAAAAGAAAATCTCTCAATTGAATGTAGAATTGTATCAATGAGCCAATGAAAGAGATTCATGGTTGTGATTATCTGATTTGAGTGAATGACGATTTCATGACAATAAAAGTTGAATATTGATAAACATGAACGAAACCAAGTCTTCTTTGACTTTAACAAATGTTCCATTCGAATAAGTCTATTCAAAATTATTGACATTTATCTTGAGGCTGGACCTTAGAAGCAATTGAAGCAACTCTCGACAAAAACGTTTGTTTGAATCAACTCAAGTTCTGAGACAATCAGGAAAACTTAGCATTCAAACTTTTCCAGAGGAAAAAGTAAAAAGAGAAAATCGAAAATTTTCCAAACTTGAAAACAATTTCGACAAAAGTTTTGCTATTCTTGGCTCAACTCATTTGGCTAACTTTGAATATTGAATAATATTTCCTTCAATGAGCTTCAGCTTTCATAAACTTTTGTTGAACAAAAGTTTGAAATGTTGGGAGGGAATCGAAAGATGCTTTAAAAGTGAAGATGAAATTGAGAATTTGATTTAATAATGAAAGCAGTTTGTAATAGTCGAGCAACAGAGGATAACGAAGTAGAATGCGTTTGATGGGTTAAGCATAATCAATCAAATGGCATGATGAGTTCATTTCATTACCATCATTCCTACCCAATTGCAGAATAAAGTATTTCTCTCTGAATATGACTATCACTTTAGAATCTGTTGGCTGTTTCATCTCTTCTTTTTTATTCATTTCATTATAATAAAAATTATTATTCACTTGATTATCAAATTACTTGATTTCATTTGCAATGTCATTACTTGATTACCAATAATTTAATAAACCATTTTTAGAATCGCTCAATGAAATGTAACAGTAAGGCAAAGGTAAAGACAAAAAAACAGATCTAAACATATTGGAAAGACTCGAGTTGAATGAGCAAGTAATGAAATAAACATTAACATACTGCAAGAAATTGAAAGAAATTTTGAAGAAAAATTGAATTTTAAAATTTACATGCAAATGCATTCTTGATTCCTTGACAATTTATAAATAGCCTTGAAACTGTTGAACAACCTTCCCAGGTTCAAAGGCTAAAAAAGTAAACTGATTCAATATTCATATTTCAAGTAGCGATCGAAAAGATTATCCAAGCACGCAAAGTTGCTTCCATTAGGATTAGAAGTACGAACTTGAAAGTTAATGGGATTCGTTGGTTATTACTCGACAAGTAACCAAAGTTTAGAGCAAACTTGGAAGCTTTGTGATTCTTCAGGATTCGATGTTATTCAAGACTTGTTTTTCTCATCGTTCAAGTCTAATTGAATCGTGATGTTTAGTTTCGTTCGAATTTTCTGTTTTCTAGATTCTAGTTTTGCAGATGAATTTCGTTTGCAAATCATTTAGTTTCGTTTTGTAAGTTGATTTGATTCCAATAAACATTTCTTTTTGCCTTTAACATGAATCTTTATTATGTTTATTGATCAACTTTACCACTTCTTATTAGTATAAAAGGTTTTATGTTTCGTCTGGAGTTGAATGTGAAAAATAATTATCAAGTGAATGGTGAAGAGGATAAAATGAGCGATACAAAAATGTTGACATTAATAGTTAATTATAATGAACGAACATCAGGTTTTGGAGAAAATAATTATTGGATATTTCCTTTGGTCAATGTTGTGACTTTTTTTCGTATCTTCTTATCATTTCCCTGGTAAAAGACCCAAGGAAAAAAAGTAATGGAAAAAAGTATCGAGCAAGAAAAGAAGGAAAAAAATCCAAGAGCTTTATTCATCTGATCATCAGAGTTTGTATAACTTTTTTTTCCGTTCAACAAAGAATAACTTATTTGCCATTATTTTGCTGTTTTTGTTAGTTTTGGTTGCATTCATCATTATTTACACTGAATTGCAGCTTCTTTTTTGTTCCCTTGTTGTTGTAAAACAATACAGATTCAGCTTCATTTTGACCTGTTCATTGACTCAATTTCAATTTGATTCTCCATCATTGAAAATAGGTGGAGAGAAGTAAGTAGAGTAACAAGAGGAAGAAGTGACGGTAAAAAAAGGATAAAAATAAACAAAAGGTGAATGAGTTACAGGAATTGATGGAAGAAAATAAGAAAAGATTGAAAAGAAAACGACAAAATCACGATAATTACTGT